GAGCAACATTATCCAACCCGAGAGAAAATCTTAAGTAATCAATATCAGTCACATATTAAAAAAATTAAAAAACATTAACAATATTAACAACACATTTCACAGATGAATCAAATTAGAGACCAAAAAATTTGACTTTAAGGAAACAATCATGTAGCATTTATTCAATATATTATTATCATAATAAAGCTATGCAAACGAACTTAATACGTAAGCATCTATACACAAAATCAACAGTATACAGCAAAAAAATTCCTTTTGTACTAAAAAATACCCATGAAAGATCTTTCCAGTCACCTGTTCATTGATTTCATTGTATTTCATTTCAGCATCATTCCTAGACTTCTCCAGTTGTGCCTTCTCATGTTCCCACTTAGCATTTAGTTCATTCTGTCCAACATACGAAATGTAATTTAAAACTTGTCATACTTCTATTCATGATATGAAAAACAACTCATAAAATTATGCAGAGGCAAACACACTTTATGGACATGGCAAAGAGTGTCTAATCCTAGAGACAAACTATGGACAAAAACAGGTATAACCAAAAATACTTGACACATGATAAAGGGGTTCATTTGGGTATAGAACAAAGTAAACAATCTGATTTTCAATGGATGTAGAAGGCATTTTATTTATGAGATAGCAAGCTGTAAGAATAGCATCATTTGGGTATAGAACAAAGTAAGCAATCTGATTTTCAATGGATGTAAAAGGCATTCTATTTATGAGATAGCAAGTGGTAAGAATAGCATCACACCAGCGATGAACAGTAACATTTGCACTAAGCAATATTGTACATACTATTTCAACCAAATATTTATTCTTTCTTTTGGCTATATCATTTTGTTGCGGTTTGTAAGGACACATGGATAGATGTAGTATGTTCAATGAGAATAAAAATGAAGAAAGATATGAAGAATAATATTGTTTTGCATTATTGCTCCAAAGAATTTTAACTATTTTTTGAACTAATTCTTGATCTTATTAAAAAAAGACACAAATAAACAAAAGTTCATATCCCTCTTTCATTAAATATATACTAGTACATTGAGAATACTCATGAATGAATGTGACATAATATCTAAAACCAATAGATGTGACACAGCTTGGACCCCTAATATTGTAATGAATGGTGAAAAAAGCAAAGTTACATCTTGTATCATTTTTCTTTGGGAAAGAGGACCTAACAAGTTTTCCTAATTGACATGTATAAAAGGCAAGGTTTGAAGTTTATTGAGTTCAAGAACTATTTTCTTCAACTTTGACAAGTTTGGATCACCCAAGCAATCACGTAGAAGTTTAGGAGATGGAGATACAAAACAAGACAAAGAGGAATTGTTTTCAAGTTTGGACGATCCAACCTCTTCCATTGTAAATAAGTACTTTGACTAGAGATGGGGTAATTATTGTGAAATTGATAGATAAAATAGCATATAGAATATGAGGCATTTTAATATAATAACCTTATTCCGAAGCAAGGTGTAACTCAATGTTGGAAATAGAAATATATGTTGAACAGCCTGATGGTTTTATTGTTGCAGGTCATGAAGAAAAAGTTTATAGGCTTCATAAAGCCTTGTATGGGCTGAAACAAGCTCCAAGAGCTTGGTACAGCAGAATTGATTCTCATTTTCTGCAAAATGATTTCAGGAGGAGCCAAAATGAGCCTACTCTTTATGTGAAAGATTGTGGCAATGGAAAGAAAATTGTGGTTTCTCTGTATGTTGATGATTTGTTGATTACAGGTGATGATGTTGATGAAATTGAAGAATTTAAAAACAGCATGTTGCAGTTTTTTGAAATGACAGATCTTGGAATGATGAGGTATTTTTTGGGGATGGAAGTGCATCAGTTTGATGATGGAATTTTTCTTTCACAGAAAAAGTATGCAAATGACTTGCTGAAAAAATTCAAACTGGAGAATTGTAATCCTGTTTCAACTCCACTTGCTGTCAACGAAAAGCTCTCCAAGGCTGATGGTGATGCAAAGGCAGATGTGACTCAATATAGAAGTTTGGTTGGTAGTCTTCTTTATTTGACTGCAACTAGACCAGATTTGATGTTCTGCAGTAGTTTACTTTCAAGGTTCATGCATTCACCAAGTTTAACACACTTTGGTGTAGGCAAAAGAGTGTTGAGATACTTGAAAGGTACTGCTGACTTTGGCATTTGGTATAGCAAAAGTGATGGAAAGGTTGAAGGTTTTGTTGATAGTGATTGGGCTGGATCTATTGATGACTCTAAGAGCACAACAGGATATGTTTTTTCACTTGGTAGTGGAGTATTTTCATGGAACTCTAAGAAGCAAGATGTGGTTGCTCAATCCTCTGCCGAGGCTGAATATGTAGCTGCAGCAGCAGCCTCAAATCAAGCTATATGGGTCAGGAAAGTCTTGACAGATTTGAGTCATGTGCAAATGGAACCTACTGTGCTATGGTGTGATAACAAGTCAGCCATTTCAATTGCTAAAAATCCAATTCAACATGGAAGAACCAAGCATATCAATGTCAAATTTCATGCTATAAGGGAAGCTGAGAAGAATGGAGATGTTCAGTTGATGTATTGCAGGTCCGAGGAGCAATTGGCAGACATACTCACTAAGGCCCTTCCAAGTGCTAAGTTTAATGAGCTAAGAAGCAAGTTGGGAGTCCTTAAGAAAAGTTTTAAGGAGGAGTGTTAATGCAGTAAAACTTTTCATTTAGTTTTTACTGCTATAATTAATTATGGTTGCTTGTATTAGTGGGTAAAGTTCTGCAGTAATTATGTTTACTTAGTGCAGTAGATAATATCTTGTTAGGTTTCTGATTTTAGGCAAATCTACACACTTAATGATGATGGGAACATGTGTTTTACTGACAGCATTTATGGGCTCTATGTATGGCTGTCATTTTTCATGTATTTGCCTTATATATGAATGAAAAACAAACAGAATAGTATGGTTGTGCAGCAAATACGAAATTGCTCTGTTCCCTAACCTTTCCTCTTCTCTGTTTCATGGTTTGTATGGTTTTTTATGTTTTATGCTTCCGCTGCCCATTGCTTGTCTTAACAAATACTCTTAATTTCTGCTGTCCATGTACCTTCCTGTGAAAACGCAAAAAGTTTTTTTGGAATTAAACAATTAATTCCTTCACCTTCACACACAAAGTGTAAAACTGTACAAATGACTGCTGGGCATCCCTTTTAGGGTTTTGCTGGGTTCGCGATTGATGGTGAAATTTGTTTGTTGTAAGGCTTGCTCATTTTCATTCTTTTGTTGTTAATAACGATTATCATACCGCTAGTCGCTGTTCTTTCTATTTTCCTTTTATGATCTCTCTGTTTTTTTGTCTTTAATTTAATTATTGCTTCCCTAATATTTCTATTTTTGTTTTCACAACTACTAACAACTAATCATGATAGTGTTACTTGTGTTGTGTTGGCTGAGCTTTAGTCTCTCTCAATCTATTTCCTTTAGGTTCTTATACACTAGTTGTGGATTTCTTAATAGAATGGTTCAGTTATTGTTCTTGTTTCATTTTTATTATTAATTTGACTTTGGTTTTAGGCATGGCGGCGACATCCCAAGAAACATATAAAATATGAAAAGGTAAATATAGTATGGTGTTCTCTCTTGATTATGACTCTAATAGGCTAACTATATAATATTTCCTTGTATTCATATCTCTTTTCTTGTTTTTATGGTCAGTTTCGGATAAGACATGCCTTGCATTGGGACAAGGTATGGAGTATTAGAACTTGTAATTTCTGATGATTTTTAGGTATTTTTTATTATTCTTTTTTCATATTTAACATTGTTATCCTTGGTTCTTGGTTGATTTGCTCATTGTGAACTGCAGCCTTTTGAAAATTTGGAGCAGCAGGAACACATGGAGGAGGTGGTCCAGCAGCAACACTTGGGGGAAGAGGTGCAGTGATTTTTTTTTAATTCTCTTGTTTTTTATTTATTTTAAATTAAGTTTATAATACATGCTTGTACTTGGCTGACAGGTGAAAAACTTGAGTGTTCAATGTAAGCTTTTGGTATCAGACTTCAACATGACTATTGGAAACCTGGAAATAGGGCTAGCTACGAGGATGAAATGTGCCGCTCATGATGGTCACCTCGACGTTGTTAAACGTTTGATTGGATTTGGGGTAGATCCTAATAAGCCTGATTATGATGGCAGAACACCTTTGGTATCAACAACTTATTTTCATCAACTCTTTTTATAAGACATTTCCATTTCTTCATTATGCATAATTACATATAGATAATTTATCTATATATTCTCCCATTGCTTGTAATTTAATTTGTCTCTAGTATCTACTCAACACAGTAGCGTCAAACAAATACTTGGATTTGATTTTTCCTCCCGTTTCCTCTTATTAACTTGATTTTATGTTTGCTATTACAGCATGTCTCAGCATCAAAAGGATATGTAGATATTTCTTCCTTTCTTGTTGAACAAGGAGTAAATATCAATTCCACAGGTTAGCTTTTGAACTTTAAAACCCAAATCAAGGACAATATTTTATTGAAAATGCTTCTTTGAAGAAAAAATAGTGTTACATTTTAAACACCCGTTTGTTTTAGATAAATTTGGAGCCACTCCCTTGCTTGAAGCCATCAAGTATGGACATGAAGAACTAGCATCTTTACTTGTTAATTCGGGAGCGATCCTTACTATTGATGATGTTGGTAACTTTCTCTGCATGACTGTTGCAAAGAAGGACTTGGACCTTTTAAAAAGGGTTTTGTCTTGTGGAATCAATCCAAATGCCAAAAATTACGATCACCGTACACCTCTTCACATAGCTGCCTCTCAAGGTTTGATTACAATGGCTGAATTACTACTACAAGCAGGAGCAAGTGTTTTATCTAAGGACACGTATGGACCAAATATTGAGTTAGCATTCTTATCAGACAATACTTTTTATTCCATTAGCACCTTCATTGTTCTAATGTAAACTTATTTCATTGCTAACTTGGGGGATCTTAGAATAGTATTTTTGTGTTGTTTATTGAATTGCAAAATAACATCTTTTAATATTTCCTTCTGGCAGATGGGGAAATACACCTCTTCTTGAAGCTCATACCGGTGGAAATAGAAATATGATCAAAATGCTCGAATTAAGTTGCTAAAGTTTCTCAGTTGGCTGAGTTGTCCAGTAGTATTCATGAAACTCAAGGTATGGTTAAGTTTCTGAGCACAGAATATGATCTTAGACGATCTTTAGGTGTTTGGTACGTTGGCATTTGAACCTGGGTAGTTAGATACTCTGCATTTTGAACGTTAGGGATGTCAAGATTCTTATGTCTGGTCAGCAATTAAAATTCATTAAAACCATTCACATTATGTCCTAGAATCGTATCTTGCATTTTTAAGTTTAACCACTGGGATACCCAACATCTACTGAAATACATAATTTTTTTCCCCATGTACATTCTAACAAATCATACGCGTTCAACAATTTTGCAGCAACACCAATGTTGCAGTCAAGAAATGAAATTCCCAGAAAGAGGTGTATAGTATTTCCTTTCAACCCATGGGATCAGAAAGAGGAAAGAAAAGAGGGAGTGGTCCTATGGGTTCCACAAAGCATTGAAGAGCTTATAAAGGAAGCGTTGAAACATTTGGACATTCCAAATGGTTCCTGTATTTTATCAGAACAAGGTGGCAAAATTCTTTATGTGGACATGATTTACAATGATGAGAAGCTATTTCTGGTGAATGAAGCACAGAATGGGGTGAAAAATTCTGGTTATCCCAGTGTCCAGACACAGAAGTAGGATCAAAAATTGTAAACGCAGTTACGACTAGCTGGTTAAAATACCTTTCCTCAGCCCACAAATTTTTCTATTCCAGATCAGAAAGTGTAGAAAATAGATCCAGAAACTATGTTCAATCAATTTGCATTGTATGTCTGCAGTTGTTGTTAGTACAAACGAATTATTTAGCGAAAAATGTATCTCTCACCACTGCGAAAGGCTTATATGTTTCATTCTTAAATTAATAATTTATTTTTCCAGGGAAATGTTTTAATGAAAAGGAAAAAAGAGGATCTTAACGTGTACGTGGTTAATCAGATTGCCTTGTTTAATGGTTGCATTAATCAAGCATTTGTTATGCTACTTAAATCATGGTCGTGGTTGATGAATTTCCGAGAGAATTGTACGAATGATGAAAAGATTTGAAACACAAAATAAATAAACTAGATTTTTGTGTAACGTATGTAATCACTTACGAAATGAGCAATGACATGTTAGCTATGAGCAGCATGTCATCGAATGGATTAATGGATGAGGAAAGAAAGTATAGTGATATAAGTACTTTGACTAGAGATGGGGTAATTATTGTGAAATTGATAGATAAAATAGCATATAGAATATGAGGCATTTTAATATAATAACCTTATTCCGAAGCAAGGTGTAACTCAATGTTGGAAATTCTTAACGATAAAGAGAGTGGCCAAGTGGCAGATGGTGAGAGAAGATATATATATATATATATATTGGCCCGGCCCGCCAATTTTTGGCGGGCCAACGGGCCAGCTCGCGGGCCATGGCCCACTTTGCCATCTCTAAAAAAAGGTATTAAAAATTTTATTTGTGAGACTAATTCTAAAGTGACTATAAATCTTATTACTAGTAGCAACATGGCTTTTCATCCTTATGATTTTTTAATCACAAAAATCAAATAGTATCGTGATAAGGATTGACATATCATGTTTCAACATACTTGTAAAGAGAGTAATTGTTTGATTGATACCCATGCCAAAGAATGTTCATTAATTCTTGTTGATTTCATCATTTTGGAACAATGTCTTCATCCTTATTACATATCATCCTATTTGATGTTATGTGTGTTTGTATTTTATGGCATTAATTCTTATCTTTAACTTATTGTTTACATTCTTACTCATAAAAAAATGGTTAAAATTGTTTAATTTTAAAATAATTATCTTAAAAAATTATATTAATTATTAATTTTATATTATAAGGTATTGACTTTTGAAACATTCCAAATTTTTTCTAAAAATAATAGTAGAGTTTTAATTAATTTATTTGGTTTTAAAATGTAATTTAATTTTTTTTATGTAATTATGAGTATTTTATTAATAAAGAAAGGTTTGTGAAATTATTTGTTATAATATTTATTAGAGAAAAATATGTGTTTTATTTTATTTGTTTTATGTATTTTATTGTATAGTTTGCTTGAATTGATTATATGAGAGAAGGGGATGAATGTGATGTTTTGAAAGAGTAAGAACTTATTAAAGATCACACTAGAGATGTATGTAAACTCGTTATAGAATGTGAGACATCTATTTGATAGTGAGAAAGAGATGAGTAAGTAATCTCACTATGAGGTGTATGATATATGTTGGGTAGCAATATTAACCTTTAATCCTATCATTTATTCTAAGGGTGGTCATAGATCCGAAAAATTAATGAATTCAAATCGAAAAATTCAAATCTAATAAGTTCATATTGGATTGTGGATTTTGATGTTGAAAATCTAATTCAATCTGATCCAACCAAATAATTATTATATATTAATTTTTTATACATATTTTTATAGAAATTTAGCATTTGTTTGTAAAAGAAATATAGTGTGAACTAAAAGACCAACTAAATCTTTTTATTCATTCTTAATATTATAATACTTTAATCAGCACTCCATAATCTATAAACAATTTTATGGGCTTGTTTGTTTCAACCTTTTCAATATATAATTTTGTTTTCACAAGAATAACATTATTTAAAATACTATAGGTTAAAATGCATCTATAAACAATTTTATGGGATTGTTTGTTTCAACTTTTTCAATATATAATTTTGTTTTCACAAGAATAACATTATTTAAAATAATACTATAGGTTGAAATGTGATTTCCTTTTATATATGTGTGTAAACATTATTTGGTTAGATTTTAATATACTTAGAAATATCTTTAAAATTCAAAATAATTTAAATAACAAAATTGGTTACAAGTATTATAAAAAGTAGTTTCTTACATTTTCATGAAAATATCACTTTTTCATCCCTTAATATAATAAGAATAAAAATCTATCGGAAATAAAACATATTTAAGAATTTTGTTGCATGATCTTATTCATGAAAATAGAGAAAGATAAACAAATACCTTCTATAATTATATACATTTATTCATCTTAATCTGTTAGGCTTAGAATTTAAGTGTAAATTTGAATGATAGTCAAGAAGTTAAGTTAAATTAAACTTAACTCTTTAAAGTTAAGTTTAATTTAACGTAAATTTAATTTAACTTGATTTATTTATTGAATACTCTTATTTTAAAAGTATTTTTATTAATATAGAAACATGTTTGGATGATAGTAATTAAAGATAATGTTAAATGTGTAATTATTAAATGGGTATGAATTTTATTATATAATATATTATGAACATTATTTATTTCATTATTTTTAAATTATATTTGAATTGATAATATATTATTATTATTATTATTAAAAAATGGTGGTAATATCATAAATAATATTAAAAAAATTATAATAAATAAATAACACAAATGTCCAAAAGAAAAAAAAAATAACAAATCAACATAAGTCAAAAATAAAAATAAAATATGTTTATTTGCTATGATTTTCTCTTACTACAACACATCTCACTCAAAATCAAATGTTTTATAACCTTTTTAATAAATAATATTTGATATACAAGTTTACATTAACAAAAAAGCAACAATATTTTGCTTTGATTTTGGAACAGTTTGTTGAAGCAAAAATACCACTCAACTTAATTGAAAAAAACAATGTAACCTAACAAATAGATTTGATGTTCATCTTTCGTTTATAGGTTTCAAAACTAAACCAAACATGCCACAAGTGTATGTATGCTACAACTACTCATACCACATGATAATGAATATAACATTAATTTTTTTATTTTTAACTTTTGACTGTATTTAAAAAAGTTAAATGATAAATTTGATGATTCAATCCAAACTAATCCAATTATAATTGAATTAGTTCAGTTCGTGCTTTTTTAGAAAATCCAATCCAAACCAATTGAATTAAATTTAACTAGATCAGATAAAAAAAACACACAAATCCAATACAAACTAATTTGTGTGCAATACAAACTAATTTGTATCCACCCTTAGTTTGTTCTTCAGTGATCTATAGGAAAAATCCTAAATTTGATCAGTAAGCCGAGAATTTGTGCTTCATATGTGCTCCATGATTAATCCTTGTATTATATATGTCATGATTTGAACATTGGTTGAATTAATTGGGAATATAATATCCCTTAGTTCTTGTAAAAAGTCCTTGATTTATAAAACAGGGTAAAGATTAAAAAAAATTGGTGATATTTAGTGTAAATGATGTTTGTTATTAGTAATTGGAGACATATGTTGAACCAAAAATAATCATATGCACCTAATATTCTAGTTTTGATGATAACAAAGCAATGATCTTGAGAGACTAATATTTGTCTAAGTCATTATAAGATATATTCATGCATGGATCATAAGAAATGAATACAAAATGTTTTTATAATAAATATGTTCGACTGGTTCATGCCTTGGATCTCCGCGAGAGCCTCCACGTGTCGGTGATCACCGAAAGAAACAAGGTTTCTGAGGGCAACAATTGAGGTCTCTTTCCAGGAGAGATCTTGCTGCCTCAAGAACCAACCATTTTGGGTTCACCATCCAATCCACGTCCACATTTCAGATATCAATTATCTACTTGCTCATGTTAATCACTACCATGATTAGGAATGACATTGAATTTATATACAAACAATTATTTCTATTGATAAAGAGACTTTTTAAATAATATTTAAAAATAAAATCGTGAGCTGAATCTACAATTAGCTTGATATATTTTAATGTTTGAGCTAACACTTCATCACTTTATTCTTAATCATAATAACAAAATCTTAGAACACTAAGTAAGATAAATTATAATGTACACCACCGATAATAAATAGTAGATTTTAACATGTGATAAAGTGATAACATCTATTTCAAGTGTGGTTTTTATGCAAGTAACATGATCTAATTAGAAAGAAAATTTTTAAGAACACCCCCATTCTTCTGAGTATATTATTGTTCATCGGTCAAAATTTATTAAAATTATAAAATTTTACAAGTCTCAATATTCCATTCAATGAATATCTTTTGTAATTTTACTGTCAGTCAAAACTTAAGGTAACACTCTTCCAATTAGAAATGTAAATTACAAATCAAGCTCTGAATATAGATTAACTTTTTTTTACTAAATCACCCTTGATACGTACAAAATGTCTCTAGTATGAATGTAAGTTTAAATCCATAACTAATTTTATATGACAGACTTGAAAACGCATAAGGCAATCAAATAACGCAAAAGCTATATATCTGATGAAATTTAGATCGAAGGAATTGTAAATAAGAAAAATGAATTTTGATTAAGGAAAACAGAGGCACGTTGCTTTCTATAGTAAAATAGTATTAGTTTGAAAAACTTAACTTGATACAATGAAATGAAGTAAGCCTCATTTATAGGCAAGCATTCACAGACTAAAGCATGTAGGCGGTTTATCAATACTTTCTAGAGTTGGACTTATATTTCTGATTTTTCTGCTGAAGGATTACTACATATTATTCTAGAAATTTGTTTTTCTTTTCTAAATTTGCATGATATTTTAAGAATATCACATTGTTATTTGAGGCAAATAATAAGAGAAGAATATTAAATGGATCTTTTAAGATTGTTGAAATCGGAATCTATGCATTCCAGTTGGAGTCGATCCCTGTAAGGATTAAGCAATTTGAGAAGGTGAGTGGTTTTGTCCTTTGTCTCAGCGCCACAACCAACCTGCAAAACTAGCAACAGCTTCTGAAAGGCACCCACTTGAAGCGCCTCAACCAGAACCCTCTCCTCTCCAAATTTGCAGAGCTTCCAAAGGGCGGAAACAGAGTAATCCGACCCCAACGACGAAACCCGCAACAGTTTCTTCACCAACACAGGAACCGCTAACGCATTGCCAGAAGCCTCTTCTCTCCCCTCTTCACAACCGCAGAGGGACTCAAAAACACCCAAAGCCTTCTCGCACGTGCTTCTTTCCCCCTCCGACTCAAGGACAATCTCCAACATTGAACAAACCATTCCCACTTGGATAAATTTCAATCTCATTCTCTCACTAGAGCAAACCAAATGCCAAACCACCGCCAACGAAGCTTTCGCAATGGTTTGACCAAATAACATCCTTCGGTTAAGAAACTTCGCCAATACTTGGTTCATTCCTTGGATCTCCGCGAGAGCCTCCACGTGTCGGTGATCACCGAAAGAAACAAGGTTTCTGAGGGCAACAATTGAGGTCTCTTTCCAGGAGAGATCTTGCTGCCTCAAGAACCAAACCATGCAACGTAAAGAAGCTTCAGAGCTTTTCAATAATATGTAATATATATGTAAAAGTAAGTAACTATGCACGTAATGGTAAGTATTTATAGTATGTTATTATGTATAATATTATTACTATACATGTGTTTTCTATCTATAAATATTATATATATATATATACGTATATTATTGATATTAATATTAATATGACTAGACGTTACATTTTAATGGTATCAGAGCAACGTTCCATGTGTAACTTGGGGAAATGTGCTAACCATGTTTCTAGTATAATAAACTAACCTATAAAAATTTCAGATGGCATGAAGAAGAAATACAGAACTGACTGAGGCTGTGCAGGCTATTAAGGACATGGTTGCCGCCTTGTTAAGGAATCAACGACCGAAAGAGGTGTTGAACTTCCTTTGGGGTGATGGGAACTGGCGGCGTTGGGATTCTTTGGACGCCACGTGTTCGATTATCGACGCACCAGTCTTGGATCATCATTCGGAGGGTGTGGTTGGGAATGAAGTCCAAGTGGGTGACGATTTGGTTGGTGAGGGGGCATGTCAAGTTTCCTTCTTCGAACCACCTTTCTATGCTTTCTCGGTCGTAGGTGATTCCGGTGGACAGCGTCACAGGGTCTTTCATTAGATCCAGAGAAATCGGGCACCGGAAGTGGTTGGGAGTCACCAACTCCTCCCTTGCCCTTCTTCTTCTTCTTCCATCTTCTCCACCCGAGAACCATTTCTGTTTTAAGGTATGAGAATGAGAATTGTACCCGTCAAAATGATACACCAGTAATTTTTTCGTAATCTGAGGATCGAACGAGTGCTCCGGGGGAGCTACCGGAAGACAAAAAGGAGGCATCGCTAGTGCAAAGAGAGTCGGCCAGGTTCGTTGTCATCAACGAGAGGCTGTACCGAAGGGGCTTTAGTTCCCCTCTCCTGAGGTGTTTGACCATACCGCAGGCGCGGAAAGTGATGGATGAAATACATGGTGGAATGTGTGGAAGTCATATCGGAGGTCGAGCTTTGGTGTACAAAGTTGCCTGGGTTTTCACAAATCTTACGTGGCTTTCTTCTCTTTTCTTCGTTTTTGTGTGAGGATGGCAACGACGCTTCTTCCCCCTTTTCTTCGCCTTTCCATCGTTGCAAATTACCGGAAACAAATACCCATTTTCTTCGCCTTTCCTTCTACGTAAATAGTAAATCAATAGATCCAAACAGGGGCTTAGAGTTAAGTTTCGATGTTTTTCCCCCTCCGACTCAAGGACAATCTCCAACATTGAACAAACCATTCCCACTTGGATAAATTTCAATCTCATTCTCTCACTAGAGCAAACCAAATGCCAAACCACCGCCAACGAAGCTTTCGCAATGGTTTGACCAAATAACATCCTTCGGTTAAGAAACTTCGCCAATACTTGGTTCATTCCTTGGATCTCCGCGAGAGCCTCCACGTGTCGGTGATCACCGAAAGAAACAAGGTTTCTGAGGGCAACAATTGAGGTCTCTTTCCAGGAGAGATCTTGCTGCCTCAAGAACCAAACCATGCAACGTAAAGAAGCTTCAGAGCCCAAATGCTGTAGCGCCTGGAATTCACGTGGAAACATGGAGTTGAGAAGCGAGAGAATGTGATGAAGCAAAGTGGAATGAGAAGGATTAGCGAATGCATGAAACGCAGAGGCTAATGCACGTGGCAGTCCGTTGTCCTCCATGCAGCGCGTGTTCCGCTCACTCTCGGCACCCCATTTCTGAATTGCTTGCAGCAACGGAAGGCAGGCGTGTGGGTCGAGAGGCGAGGCCTTGGAAACGGAATAAAGAGTGAGAAGAAGGTGTTGAACTTCCTTTGGGGTGATGGGAACTGGCGGCGTTGGGATTCTTTGGACGCCACGTGTTCGATTATCGACGCACCAGTCTTGGATCATCATTCGGAGGGTGTGGTTGGGAATGAAGTCCAAGTGGGTGACGATTTGGTTGGTGAGGGGGCATGTCAAGTTTCCTTCTTCGAACCACCTTTCTATGCTTTCTCGGTCGTAGGTGATTCCGGTGGACAGCGTCACAGGGTCTTTCATTAGATCCAGAGAAATCGGGCACCGGAAGTGGTTGGGAGTCACCAACTCCTCCCTTGCCCTTCTTCTTCTTCTTCCATCTTCTCCACCCGAGAACCATTTCTGTTTTAAGGTATGAGAATGAGAATTGTACCCGTCAAAATGATACACCAGTAATTTTTTCGTAATCTGAGGATCGAACGAGTGCTCCGATCCGATGCTCCGATCCGATGTGAGTAGAGGGGTTGGTACCTGCAAAAGACACTTCAACGCTCAAGTCAGGACAAACTCGAATATCTAGAATAATTAATGAACAAGAAGCTTGGTTCCTCAAGCTTCTTCACCTCTCTAAGAGGTGGCCGAACCTCCTTAGGTGTTTCTCCTCCATTGGAGTTTCTTCGTGGAGCTTAAAAGTGTCTTTGAAGGTTTAAATCTCAAGAGTAATTCGGTCCTATGCATGGAAGCTTGGATGAACAACAATCTTCACCAAGGAGTTCCATCACCCAATCTTCTCAATTTGCAGGAAATTCCAGTAGACCCATGAATAATCAAGCTAAGTGTCTTAAGTGTGGACAGGGTCATTATACTAAAGACTGTCATCTCAAAGGACCTGTTTGTTTCAAGTGTGGAAAGCCGGGTCATATGTTTTCTGAGTGTGGACAACCAAAGGCGCACGAGAATACTTTTGGACCCAAACCGAGACCTCCTACTACTGGGAGAGTTTATACCATGACCGGAACTGAAGCTGCTCAAAATAACGATCTAATACAAGGTACATGTTTCATTAAAGGCAAAACTTTAAATGTACTGTATGATTCAGGCGCAACTCATTCTTTTATCTCCAATTATTGTGTTCAACACCTTCAATTGTCAGTTTCTTCTTTAGAGACTAATCTAATTGTTTCGACCCCTACAAATGAATCTATAATTGCCCATAAAGTTTGTTTAGATTGTCCTATTTTTATTGGTGATAGAAAATTTCTTGTAAATTTGATCTGCTTACCTTTATCACAGCTGGATGTGATTTTAGGTATGGACTGGTTATCATCTAATCATGCCTTTCTCAATTGTGCCGAAAAGTCTATAAGATTTTCTGATTCTAAGGACCTATCGATTTCATTATCCAAACCAATAAGCAAGTTTTCTTGGGGTAAAGTTCAAGGATATTTAATCTTGTCCTCTATGGAAGCTAAAGAGGAAGTCGACTTAAAAAACATAGTTGTTGTTCAAAATTTTCCTGAAGTTTTCCCTAATGATATTCCTGGTTTGCCACCTGACAGAGAGATTGAATTTTGATTGATTTAATGTCTGGAACTGGACCAATTTCAATGGCACCTTATAGGATGTCACCATCTGAATTAACTGAGTTGAAGAAACAATTAGAAGAGTTGCTCGAAAAACAATTCATACGCCCTAGTGTTTCACCTTGGGAGACTCCTATTTTGTTAGTTAAAAAGAAAGATGGAAGTTTTAGGTTGTGTGTAGACTATCGTCAATTAAATAAGTTTACCATAAAGAATAAATACCCTCTTCTTAGGATAGATGATTTGATGGATCAATTGAGAGGAGCCACTGTGTTTTCTAAGATAGATTTAGGATCAGGATACCATCAAATCAAAGTGAAAGCAGGAGACATACAGAAAACTGCGTTTAGAACAAGGTATGGTCATTATGAATATCAAGTGATGCCTTTTGGAGTAACCAATGCACCTGCAGTGTTCATGGATTATATGAATAGGATTTTTCGTCCGTATTTAGACCATTTTGTGGTGGTCTTTATAGATGATATCCTCATATATTCTCGAACTCATGAGGAGCATGAAGAACACCTTCAAACTATTCTTCAAATCCTGAAAAATAAACAATTGTATGCCAAACTTTCTAAGTGTGAATTTTGGTTAGAGGAGGTTAAATTTTTAGGACATGTGATCTCCAAAGACGGAGTGTTTGTGAATTCGTCTAAAGTAGAAGTAGTTTTGTTATGGGAACCTCCAAAGACAGTGACAAAAATCCATAGTTTTTTGGGTTCAGCATGATATTATAGGAGATTCATTAAGGGATTTTCTAAAATAGCCATGCCTTTAACTCAACTCACTAAGAAAGCACAACCCTTTGAGTGGACAAAAAAATGTGAGAATACTTTTCAAGAGCTTAAGAAAAGATTAACCACTGCACCAGTCTTAGCCTTACCCAATCCTAATGGACAATTTGTCATATTTTGTGATGCCTCAAAAATGAGATTAGGGTGTGTTCTTATGCAAGACAGAAGGGTAGTAGCATATGCTTCTAGACAACTAAGAACTCATGAAAGGAATTACCCAACCTATGATCTAGAACTAGTTGCCATTGTTTTTGCACTCAAGATATGGAGACATTATGTGTATGGTGGTAAGTTTGATGTTTTTATCGATCATAAGAGTTTAAAATATTTGTTTGATCAAAGGGAACTAAATATGAGACAGACAAAGAAGGTGGATGGAATTTTTGAAAGATTATGATTTTGAATTACATCACCATCCAGGAAAAGCCAATGTTGTGGCTGATGCACTGAGTAGAAAATCTTTACACATCTCTTCACTAATGATTCATGAGATGAATTTGATAGAAAAATTTAGAGATATGAATTTATCAACTACAGTAAGTCAGGATAGAATACAATTGCATGCAGTTCAAGTTACTAATGACTTACATGGATAAATTGGTGAGGCTCGGGTAGTTGATAAATTCATTCAAAAGAAAAAGAGATTGTTGGGACAAAAGGATGGTGAAAAGTTTAATATAGATCAAAGATGAGTTTTGATATTTAATGATAGGATATGTGTACCCAAGGATTCAGAAATTAAGAAAATAATTCTAGGTGAGGCACATAAAAGCAAGTTGAGTATACACCCTAGGGCAACAAAAATGTATCAGGATCTCAAGAGAACGTTTTGGTGGCCTAAAATGAATAAGGAAGTAGCATAATATGTAGCTACATGTTTGATTTGTCAAAAGGCCAAGATAGAACATCAAAAGCCAGCAAGAATGTTACAACTCTTAGATATACCTGAATGAAAATGGGACAACATAGCAATGGATTTTGTAGTTGGTTTACCACGAACAATTCATAAGTTTGATTCCATATGGGTTATCGTGGATAGGCTGACAAAATTTGCTCACTTCTTACCCATTAACATTAGGTATTCACTAGAAAAATTGACTGAACTGTACATAAGGGAGATTGTACGGCTGCATGGTGTACCATCTAGCATAATATCTGATAGAGATCCTAGATTCACTTCTAAATTTTGGGGAAGTTTACATCAAGCATTAGGAACTAAGCTTCGCCTTAGCTCTGCATATCATCCTCAAACAGACAGACAATCAGAAAGGACCATTCAATCCTTAGAAGATTTATTGAGAGCTTGTGCGCTAGAGGATTCTGGTAGTTGGGATCAATATCTGCCTCTGATTGAATTCACTTATAACAACAGTTTCCATTCTAGCATAGGTATGGCACCCTATGAAGCTTTATATGGAAGAAAGTGCAGAACTCCTTTGTGTTGGTTTGAGACAGGAGAAAATATAATCTTGGGTCCTGAATTGGTGCAACAAACCACGGAGAAAATCAAAATGATTCAGGAAAAATTGAGAACGACTCAAAGTAGACAGAAAACTTATGCTAATAGGAGAAGACGACCTCTTGAATTTCAGGAAGGTGATCATGTATTTTTGAAAGTTACACCAACAACCGGAATTGGTAAGGTAATGAAATCAAAGAAACTCACACCTCGATTTATTGGTCCTTATCAAATTCTCATAAAAATAGGTCTTGTAGTTTACCAAATTTCTTTACCTCCTTTTTTTTTCTAATCTTCACAATGTCTTTCATGTGTCTCAATTAAGAAAATATATTTTTGATCCTTGTCATGTAATAATACCTGATACAGTACAATTAAAAGATAACCTTACATATGAAACAATGCCTGTACAGATCACATACTGGAGAATCAAGCAGTTGAGAGGCAAACAGATTTCATTGGTAAAGGTCATTTGGAATGAAGACACAGGAGACGCTACGTGGGAATTGGGAGAGAAAATTAGGAAAAATTATCCTTATTTATTTTAAGTAATAAAAAAAAATTTGAGGACGAAATTTCTGTAAGTAGGAGAGAATTGTAATGTCTTAATTTTTAGATAACAATATTCTCAATATTATTATTAGTATACTTTTCTTAAAATAGTAATTGAAATTTTTAGCATAAATACAATATTTTCACAATATATATATATATATATATATATATATATCAAATGTTTATTACAACATTTTTAGTGAAATACAATTATAAAATATTTATTCCTAATTATATAATTAAATTAAAATGTGTGCAATTAATGTGTGATGTGTGACGTGTGTGTTTAATGTGTGATGTGTAAGAGGTGTAGTGTGTGTAGTGACGTGTGTGGAGTGATATTAAGAATGTGTGTATAATAGGTGCAGGTGCTACGTGTGTGGAGTGATATTATGAGTGGAGTGATATTAAGAATGTGTGTATAATAGGTGCAGGTGCTGCGTGTGTGGAGTGATATTATGAATAGAGTGATATTAAGAATGTGTGTATAATAGGTGCAGGGGCTGCAATAAATATTCTTTCGTATAGCAATAGATAACAAATTCATAAATGCATGTGGATTTACCTTCAAGTAAATATTCTTTCGTACAGCAATAGATAAGGGTTTAGATAAAAATTAAGAGTGCAACAGAGGATAAAATCACATGTATGAAAAAATTACGCAATCACTTACGCAATTTGAAATAGAAAACACACCTATAAATAGTGCATTTAGTAGCTCAATGGAGCTCAACGGAAACTGGAAAAGATTGTAGAGTGAGACAGCCACAGAGAGAAAAGAAAAAAAAAAAGAAAGGTGATAGAAAGATAAAAACAACTTTAAGGTAAGGGAGAGGAGAACTTTATCTCTTTAAAATTTTATATACTACTATGTTTATTTATTTATGTTATTTTTTACGTGTAATTATTTAGTGAGGTGTCCCTAACCTCATTTATTTGCTTAATCTATGATTATTTTTATCCATAATAATTATTAATATGTTCATATTTTATATTGTTTAATTATTTTATAATGATTATCATTGTCATTTAATTAATTGGTACTCTTAATATATTTTATTTACGTATATGTTATTTAATTAAAGCTTAAATAATGATAAATTCTCAAATTTATTTAACGTGATTGTTTTTATGATTGATTATAATATAATTTTGTTAAAATGTCTTTGACTCGTTTTAAAGATAAATATTATTCTATGGCCATAGAAGATAAAATTTGAATTATTTGTAGCTGGAGGTTTGACCTTGGGGATTTAAATGAGTAAGAA